CAAAAACACGGAGAAATACCCGACTCTTCAGTCATGCAAATTAGTGGATATGACTTGTTCACAAGTGACTTAACGGCAGAAAACACAAGAGGGACATGCATATATGTCAAGACATCACTGAAAGCCAAACAAATCATACCACATGCAGAGACATTTCACGATAGCACATGGGTGGAGATGCAGAGCCAAGGGAATGATATTCTAAGGATTGGGGTGATATACAGATCAGGGACGCCAACTCTAGCATGCACACGTGATGAAGCCCTACATGAGAACTTAAAATGGGCAACTAACGGCCAAGCAACACATGTGCTCTTTGCAGGAGACTTCAATCACCCAATAATTAGATGGATCCCCTCACCACATGTGCTAGGATCAGAAGGCTCAACTAACGCAGCAAACAAGTTTATAGAGTGCTTGAGAGATACATACGTATACCAACATGTGAAAGAACCAACAAGATACAGGAGTGATCAAACTCCAACAGTGGATGATTTGGTTTTCAGCAACGAAGCAGAAATGGTGGAAGGTCTTGAGCACCACGATCCACTGGGAGCGAGCGACCATGTTAGAATACAATTCAGTTTTAACTTCAATTCACATGATGAGAGGGAAAGGAGTCCATCACTGAACTATGAGAAAGCAAGTTTTGAAGAAATCAGAAATGACCTCAACCTCAATTGGGAGGAAGTACTTGAAAACAAGAGCACACAAGAAGCGTTCGATGAACTACAATCCAGAATACTCGAGTCAGTGAATAATCACGTTCCCAAGAGAAAAACAAACAGCAAGAAACAGAGGGTGAAACCACCATGGATGAATAATGCGACGTACAGAAAGACAAGGAAGAAATTTCACACGTGGATAAGATATCTCAACACAAAAAGCAAAGAGGATTGGAAGAAGTATAAGACAGCAAGAAATGCAGCTACACATGCGGCCAGACAAGCAAGAAGGACATTTGAAAGAAGGATTGCCAGAGAGGTGAAGTCAAACAACAAATCCTTTTGGAGATATGTCAACAGCCGCAGAAAGACTAGAGTAAACGTGGGAGACCTTAAAGATGAGGAAGGAAAGTTGACTACTGAGGACGGGAAGAAAGCCGAAGTGTTAAACACACAGTACGTCAGAACTTTCACACACGAGGATTGCAGTAATGTGCCAAGGTTTATACTGAAACCCCTACAGAGTGATCTACTGAAGACAATAGTAGTTACAGAGGAAATGGTACTAAAGCAACTGGAGCTACTTCGAATAGATAAGTCACCTGGGAATGATGGGATACATCCACGAGTCTTGAAGGAAGCAGCACACGAGCTAGCCAAACCTCTAACTATTATATTCAACTCAAGTATTAAAAGTGGAAAGCTTCCAGACCAGTGGAGAGAGGCATGCGTGACTCCAATTTACAAGAAAGGATGCAGAACAGATCCGGCTAACTACAGACCGGTGTCATTGACATCCATAATCTGCAAGATGCTAGAAAGATTCATATCAGATGCTATACTAGAACACATGAGATTCAACAACCTCACATGCGACAACAACATGGATTCTCCAAGGGTAAATCCACAGTCACAAACCTACTAGAGGCACTGGATGTGTGGACGGAGGCTTTGAGCCACGGTGAACCGGTGGATATTATCTTCTTGGATTACGCTAAAGCGTTCGACACGGTTCCACATGAGAGGTTGATCAACAAAGTAGAATCCTTCGGCATAGCAGAGAACTTGCTACTGTGGATTAGAAACTTCTTGACTCACAGGAGACAGAGAGTCGTAGTAAATGGCCAAGCATCCAGCTGGAAAGCGGTGACGAGTGGCGTACCGCAAGGGTCAGTGTTGGGACCGCTTCTTTTCTCGATGTTTGTCAGTGACATACCCGATGAGCTACATAACTTTGTTTCCTGTTTGCGGACGACACAAAGATCTATGCCATTGCACACGGGTGTGAAAGCCAGGCCAGAACACATGCGACTCAAGAAGAAGAACTCCACACGAGTCAGACCATAACACATGCGACCCAAGAAATCCACACGAGCAATCTACACTCTACATGCCTACAGGCTGACTTGAATACTTTGCAGCGATGGTCATCTAGGATGCAGATGAAGTTTCACCCTGACAAGTGCAAAGTAATGCACCTGGGAAGAAGAAACCCCACACACGAGTATACTATGA